CCACGCACCCAGGGACAGTGTAAGACCGTTCGCCCCCCTCGCTCTGATAGCCCAGCGCGCACGTCCTCCTCCTCGTATGCCTCCTCTTAACAGCTTCCTCCCAGAGGTTTTCTCGTCATGATCTTGAGGAGCGTCGACCTCGGCGGGGCCCGGGACTTCATCGGCCAGCGGCGCACTGGGCAGGGGAAGGATATTCCAGGCAGGGAAGCGGTCTCGAGGCGATGGTCTTAAATCGGGCTTGTCCCTCTACAGGATGAATATTCAACAGTGACAAAACATAGTATGGGGACGCTTTTTGTTTGCCCCGTAATTTTTGAATGTGTGTTGGGTATGTGTTGACTACTTCTTATTTGTCGTCCAAAAATCCGCCTGTAGGATGACATGCCCGACCTAACGATGGTCTTGCAGCGTGCACAGCCCACGGCTCTGGAGGTGGAGCACGGCAGCAGGGTCGCGCCGCACTGACGTGGCGTCGACGCCACCGCTGGCGCTCCAGGAAGCCCGGAATCGGCCAACATCGAGCGATCCGCGCTGTCTCTAGGCCTCCTAGGTGGGGTCGGAGTTTTTGGGGTCGGAGGATTGCGCCGCATCGCCGATGCATCGCTGATGCGGCTCGATGTGAAGCCCGATTTGCCTCACGTCGACGTCGCCGACGATGCGGCGCGATCCTCCGACCCCATCTACTCCGACCCCATCAAGGAGGCCTCTACTGTCGGAAAGCCGAGATCGCTCCAAGCGGAACGATCCACGCGGGCGTCAGAAGCGAACGCCGCCGTCGTCACGACGCGAACTTGCCGTGGAGGGAACGACGAACGACGAGGCGAAAGGACGAGGAAGAACGGCCAGGAAGGGTGAAGGAGTATCCTCAGGCTCTCGTCATTGCTGCCTCTGCCGTGCCCGCCTCTGCGCTGCCTGCCTCGTCTCTCCAACACTATCTCATCCCGCTCGCTGGCCGCTGGGGTGCGCGACCGAGCTTCACCCGCACAAACAATCGACTACACGTACGTAAGAGGGACCTTTCGTTGGAGTGACCTTTGGTGCAGGCCCACTGGGGCCCCCCGATCGCTGACTGTGGTGGGACATCAGCGGCTTGCGTGCTTGGGGTTCGCCCCCCCCCCTGAAGCCTTCCAGCATAGGCCACTTCGTCCTAGGATCAGTAACTCTTGCGTGCAGCCGTAGCAAGGGAAAAGGACAGAAGGTTTCTGCCCTCCTCCCAATGTCAGCTGTTCCTCGTCGGTAGGAAGCTGATGTGCCGTGCTGGTGCTCTCGGGTGGATCATTCAATTGCGAAATGAGATGGCCCCCCCCTCTGTCTCGGCTTTGATGGTGCCCATCCAGTTCAGCCCCCCTGGCCGCCTCCAAGCAGAAGTCGTCGCGCGCGGTGCACCTGTAGGTGGTGCCAAAACCATTGTTCTGTCTGCCACCAGACCTCCAGCGAACGTCAGGGGAAGCTGACGGCCAGTATTGTCGAGCTAGACCCTCTGCAAGTCTAGCCCGCGCTCCAGGGACCAACACAATGCAGCTTGCGACGCGAAGTGCATGCGGTGGGGAAGGAACAATCTGGAACACCAATCATAATGAATGACTCTAGTATGACCTTGATCATGTCTTCTGGCCTCTCGTTGTGTCATCAAGGGGGGATCTGATATGTCCGACAGTGGATGCGGCATGTACACGCGTAATTGCATACACACATACGTACATGCATACATACATACATACATACATACATACATACATACATACATACATACATACATACGTACATACATGCATGCATACATACATACATGCATACATACATATACGCATAAGTACATACACACCTGCATACATGCACATACATGTACATACATACATCCACACATCCATACGCACATACATACATACGGTACATGCATACACACTGACAGGCGTACATGCATGCATACATACGGACATACATGCATACATACAGCCATACAGACATACATACCTACAGACACACATACACACATACACACATACACACACATACACACAACCACACATGCACACATACACGCGTACACACTTGCATTATGCATGCATATACACATACATACATGCATGCAAACATACACAAACACATACAGACGTACATACATACATACATACATACATACATACATACATACATACATACACACATACATATATACATACACACAAACAATCACACCTGCATATATACATACATATGCACATACATACATACATACATGCATGCATGCATACATACATACATGCATTCATACATTCATACAGTCATATATTCATACATTCATACATACATACACACATACACACACATACATACATACATACATACATACATACATACATACAGACAGACAGACAGACAGACAGACAGACAGACATACATACATACATGCATACACACATGCATACATTCATACGTGCATGCAGCATACATACATCCATACATTCATACGTGCATGGGCACATTCATACACATACATAGATGCATGCACATAAGTGCATAGTAATAAACTAGCATGCCACGTCTATATACACTTGGAACCCCTCAGGGCGAAGGGTAATACCATACTTCGAAGTATAGTTTTCTCGGTCGATCGAGCGTTTGACGAGCATTTAAGTCGTTACATATGTAATTCGGCATCCATATATCCGCGTTTCTTTCGGTCGCAGCTCGGCAGAGGCAATCCGCGCGGGCGCTCGCAGTAGTCGGGGGCGCTGACTAATGACTTGCTCGGGTGCAAGAGAGGAGGTGCGGGAAGACAGGCCGGCCGCGGAGGAACCGGAGGACGAGGAGAGCGCTCACGGCTGAAAGAGTTCTATGGTGAGCGCGCTGGTGCGGCCAGCCAGGGGTGCGGTGCCAGGGCAGCGGACGCGGGACGGCATCGCAGTGGGCCGTCTTGGAGGCCTCCTGGGCCGTCTTGCGGGCCTCTTGGGGCCTCTGGGGCCGTCTATAGTTTCATCTTGGAGCGTCGGAAACCCATGAAGGCGAGAACGCTGATATCATGGATTAGCCTTGGGGTAATCAATGATTTCGGCATTCTGGAGGTCCGTTTGGAGCCCTCTTGGGGCGTCTTGGGGGCCTCTCGGGCCATCTGAAGGACACCTTGGGCCGTGTTGGGGCCATCTTAGCCGTGTTGGGGGCATTGTGTACCGTCTTGGAGACATCTTAGGGCCATCTTGGGCTCCATCTAGTGGGGCCATTTTAGCCGTCTTGGGCGAACTTGGAGGCCACCTTGGGTCACCTTGGCCGTCTTGGAGGCGGGCGTTGTACAGATTTCTGGTCGTCCTGGACACGGTGGCGCGTCAGGCCGAGATCCCTTTTGGAACCCTGGACGGGCCAGCGCACCCTGAAAATTGGCACGCCGCGCGCCCCTGTTGCAAGCCACGGGGGGCGGCGGATGACGGAAAGCTCGCGTTAGCGTGCGGTCCGTTAGTCGGAAGAAATTGGACTTGGGGGAGTTCGAGGGGGTTGGCATCCGCGGACCCGGATCTAATTACCCTCCCGCCTTGTTTTTTATCGAGTAGGACGGTCTTCGGGGCTTAAAAACAGCGTTTCGCTCGAGACATCATCGGAGAACGCTTCTTGGGCGCTTCTTGGGCCGTCTTGGGCGCCTAAGACAGCCCAAGAAGCGGCCAAGACGGCGCCCAAGACGGCCCAAGACGGCCCAAGAAGCGCCCAAGACGGCCCAAGAGCGTTCCAAGAGAGCCCAAGACCGCCCAAGGCGGCCCCTAAGACGTCCCAAGAGGCCTCCACGACGCCCCAGGAGGCGCCCACGAGGCGTCCCAAGAGGGCCCCACGAGGCCAAAATCATTGACGTTCTAAAGGAAAACGTGCATTTTTAGCATATACGGCTTTTCGCCTTTCATGGCGTTGAAGACGGCCCAAGAGGCCCCCAAGACCGCCCCAAGACGGCCCAATATGTCCCCAAGAGGCCCCCAAAATAGCCCAAGAGGGCGCCAAGACGGGCCAAGAGGCGCCCAAGACTGTCCAAGAGGCCCCCAAGAGCGCCCAAAAAGGCCCAAGAGGCCCCCAAGAGGGCCCAAAAACGGCCCAAAAGGGCGCCAAGACGGCCCAAGAGGCGCCAAGACAGCCCAAGACGGCCCCAGGACGGTCCCGAGAAGGCCCCAAGAGGCCCCCAAGAACGCCCAGAGACGGCCAAAGGCAGCCTAGTCCCTTCACCCCCGCAGCCCAGAAGCCCCCAGGAGGCCCCAAAGGCCCCCGAATAGCCCCAAAAGGTCCCCAAGAGGCACCCAAGAGGCTCCCCAAGAGCCCCCCAAGAGGCCAAAAATATTCCCCAAAGGCTCTTAGCACCGCGGCTCCTAAGAGCGAGCGGTGACGTAATCGAGCTGGTAAGACCAAAGCTCCCAACCGAGAGCTGAGACGTAAGAAGTTTTTGACGCCAGGGCACAGGGACGGGCGGCAACGCGTGGACAACGAGCGGTCCACGCAAGGAAAACGCGGGGTTCTGGAAAGCTGGCAGCCCAGACGCGGAAAACGCAACGCGACCCGACCGCCCCCTCCAAAACAAGAAACGCGCTCAAAGAAAGCTCCGCGAGTCTCCGAGGCTGAGATAGGACAAGAGCGAGGGGAAGGGAGTCAATAAGAGGTGTAAGAGCGGACGAGCCAGCGATCTCGTGCTTTCTGAAAGTAAGTGCGTTTTCCGTCCCCGTGCCAAGCAGGTCTAATGGCCTTCGGCCCATTTCGCCACCGTGCCTGGGTCGTGGGCCAGAGGCGTCTTAGAAGCCTTTTGGCAGTTCCCGAAAGGTCTGTTGCGGGCCGCCCGGAATCATCATGGTGGCTGTGTACGTCGGCTTGGGGGGCTCTGGGGGGCCTCTTGGGTTTCCTCGCTGGGGGACTCTGGGGCCTGCTGGCGGTTTCGGGGCAATCTTGGAGCAAAGGGTTCGGAGATTCAGTTCATGCTCCCATCCGGGAGCCTATTGGGGCCGTCTTGGGGGGCCTCTTGGGGCGATCTTGGGGTT